TTGGGACTTCCTCGCACTTGATTTAGGCGCCGCGCCCTCGACACTCAGGAACCACGCTCTCGCTCTGGATTTCCTCACGAGGTTTATTTTGGAATCGCGCTGTCGCTCAATGCTTCCTCGCAATTCATGCAGGACGCACGCTTCAGCAACCCGCCTGCTCGACTGGCCGCCTGGGCCCGCCTGTTAGGGTCTACCCGCCCGATCTGCCCGCCTGGTTCTGCCGCGTGTTTTTGCTCCTAGCCCCCTTCTGCTACTCTCTTCCTTGCTCAATCCTCCTCTCCGCCCCTTGTCCCTTCCTTCCATCCGTCCTCTCCTCCCCTGCCTTAGCTGCTGCACGACATACGCGTTGCAGATAGGAAATAGATACCCAACGAGATACCATCGAAGACGAAGAGGGTGGGTATCGAGGGTTTGGGATATACGTGTTGAATGGCACGCGAACAGATAAGAGCGAACAGGTTTAAAATGGTTGTTGCTGGTGGTGGTGATGATGGTGATGTGATTGATGACGATATTGCTGATGTTGATGATGCTGATGGTGGTGGTGATGATGACGACGACGACGATGGTGATGATGATGGTGATGGTGATGGTGAGAATGACGACGACGATGATGAGAATGATGGATGGAGGATGAAGGATGAAGGATGGCTATTGTTGATGATATTACCGATGTTGATGATTATTAATATGTGTATGATGATGGTGATGATTATGGTGATGGTGATGGTGGTGATGATGATGATGATTATGATGACGCTGCTGATGATGCTGCTGATGATGATGACCAGGATGTTTCTGACGACGGAGATGCTGCTGTTGTTGATGTTGGGTGGTGAAGGCTGATGGCGATGCTCTCCTCAGTCTTGACACACCACCCGGCGTCGGGAAGGGGCTCGGTATATCGCTGCTCAGGCCGCCTTTCAGCATCTCGGACAGCGAATCCTGGAAGTCGAGCTCATCGAGGAGGAGGGGTCATCGAAGATCGAGGCGTTGGCTGGGTTGGGGTGCCTCAGGGAATCCTGAGGGGGTCCAGGGAGGTTCGCTTCCCGGAGGAGCTCCGACCCCCTCCATGAGTGGCCCCCCCCCCTGGCACTGCCTGCTCATCGCCGGGCTGGACACGAAGAAGGGCGCGGGGCTGAACGGGCGGTTTGGCATCGTGACCAAGCGCGCCAACCGGAGCCGCCGCGTGGAGGTGAACGTGGCCGGCAAGGTCGTGCGTCTGCTGCCCAGCAACACGCAAAGGTTGGCGGCATGTCCTGTATGTTTTGCATGTTTGCCAGCGTGGACCCCAAACAGTAAGCTGCTGGACTGGGTATGTCAGCTATACGTGATGCTATGCGATGCACTATCTATCTATATATATATATATATATATATATATATATGTATCCTAAGAAGGCCCCAAGAGGCAAAAGTCATTGATTTTCCATGGGTTGTTGGTGAATGTGGGGTTCTCCTCTTTTCGGCTTCCCGACGCTCCAAGACGGCGGTCTTCTGGGCGTCCGAAGCCGCCTGGGAGGCTCCAAAATCGCCCACAACCATCCGAAAAGGCTTCGGCAGTCCAAGAGAGCCCCAAGACGGCACAACAGGGGTCCAAGATGGCCCTAAGAGAGCCCCATGGCGGCCCAAGATGGCCCCAAGACGCCCTCCGAAGCATTCCAAATCGTGACCCGGTCGTTCAGGGAGACCGCGGTTGGAGGCAGGATGGCCCGAGGAAGCCCCCAGAGGCCCCCAGAACACGCCCAGGAGGCCTCCAGAAGGCCTTAAGAAAGCCTGAGAAACTTTTGTGAGGCCCCCGGAGACTCTCCAAGGAGGAGCCTCCGCAAAAAGAGTTGAGGAGGATGGGGAGACTGCGCAGGGTATGGCAAGAATGAGGAAAAAGAAACATGGAGGAAGGATAACGAATAACATTGTTATAACGGCAATGTCGGAAAAGGCAACAAGGAGTTATCGTTGAATTGTCGGTTTGACCTTCCTGCCATGCCGCCTGCATACCAACCTTCAAGAACCAAGGTGCGTGACGCGAAGCGCCAATGCAGCCTTGTATACACATATATAGACATATACATACATACATACATACATACATGCATGCATGCATGCATACATACATACTTACTTACTTACATACATACATACGTACATACATACACCTATACATTCGCATATACATATACGCATACATATACATATACATATGCATAGACATACATGCATACATACATACATACATACATACATACATACATGCATGCATGCATGCATGCATACATGCATGCATGCATGCATGCATACATTCATGCATTCATGCATTCATGCATTCATGCATTCATACATGCATACATGCATACATGCATACATGCATACATGCATACATAGATGCATGCATGCATGCATTCATGCATGCATGCATTCATGCATTCATACATTCATACATTCATACATGCATATATAGGAGTAGGCTGTGGGGGGGCGGGGGGCTGGGCCCCTGCCTGTACCCTCCATGGGCGCCCCCCTGGAGTTCTGGGGGGTCCCAGAGCTCCCGAGGCGGCCCGGGCCCGCCCCGAAGCAGGCCACGACAGGCTAAGAGGGCCCCAAGAGGGCCGAAGACGGTCCCAAGAGGCCCCGAAGACGCCCCAGATGCCCTCAAGACGGCCGACGAGGACTCCAACACGCTCCAGGACGGACTCAAGAGGCTCCCCCAGAGCTGGGAAGCGAAACTCCGTAATTTTCCAAGGGTTTCTGAAGAATTTTGGGCGTTCTCGCATTTCCCGCTTCACAGCGCGCCCTCGCGGGCCTCGGAGGCCCCTCAGATCGCTCCAAGACGGCCTTGGTGGCCCCAACGCGGCCCCAGATCGGTCCGACACGGGCAATGCACAGCCCAAGAGCCCTCGAAGAGGCCCACAAAGAGCTCCGAGAGGCGTCCCGAGAGAGCCCGAAGAGGGCCATACCCAGGATGTCCACTCGTTTTGTCCCATGCTTTTCGCTTTCTCGCGTTCTCGAGCTTCCAACGCTCCAAGACGGCCGAAGATGCCCCGAAGATCGTCCCAAGACCGCGAAGAGGCCCAAGAGCAGCCCAAATTGCCCAAGAGAATCCCAAGAGAGGCACTAGATGGGCCCCAGAGCGGGAACGGGAGGCCCCAAGGCGCTCCAGGGCGGCCGAGATGATTCTAACGTGGCCCAAGAGGAGCTCAAGACGGCAATCACAGCCCAAAAGGCCTCCAAGAGAGCCCAAGAGAGCTCCGAGAGACGTCCGGAAAGCCCAGAGAGGCCCAAGTCATTGATTTGCATTGGTTTGTTCTATGTTTTTCGCTTTCTCGCGTTCTCGAGCTTCCAATGCTCGAAGACGCCCGCAGACGCCCCCAAGACTGCCCCGAGACCGCCGAAGAGGCACCCAAAGGAGCCCCAAGACGGCCCCAGGGAGCCCGAAAATAGTCCAGGAGGAGCCCCAGACGGCCCAAGAGAACCCCAGGACAGGCCCAAGCTGTGCCACAGAGCGGGAGCGGGAGGCCCCAAAGCGCTCCAAGACGGCCCAGATGGCCCGGGCCTCCCCCTTCGTCCCTCCTTCCCTCCCGCCCCCTCCCCTTGTCTCCATTCCCTCCTCTCTCCTCTTCCTCCCCTCACCCCTCAGCTTTCGTGCTCCTCCCTCCTCTCCTGGGACGGCCCCGCCAGAGCGACAGACAGGCCCCGCCAGAGCGAGCGGGGCATCGCTATTACCCTATCATTTCACAAATTGCTTTCCCCCTCCCACCCCTGAAGGGCGGCCCCGGCAGAGCGAGAGCGTTCTGACTACGCGTTTCTTTGTGTCGATGGCATGGGCCCGAGAACGCTGGAAATCGCCGTTGTGACCACAGCGAGGTTTACAGCGACACCCGTGCCTCACCTGCGACTAGAACCTAAGCGCGTAGCGCGCGCGCGCGGTTCTAGCACATGTACTTCATACATATATATATATATATATATATATATATATGTAAATGTATATGTATGTGTGTATGTGTGTGTGTTTGTATGTATGCGTGTATGTATGTGTGTATGTATGCATGCATGCATGCATGTATGTATGTATGTTTGTATGTGTGTATGTGTTTACGCATGTATGTGTGTATGCATGTATGTGTGTATGTATGTATGCATGCATGCATGCATGCATGTTTGTATGTATGTATGTATGTATGTATGTATGTGTGTATGTATGTGTATGTATGCATGTATGTATGTATGTATGTATGTATGTATGTATGTATGGATGGATGTATGGATGTATGGATGTATGGATGTATGGATGTATGAATGTACGTATGTTTGTGGTGCAAGCTATGTGGTGTCATAGTTGTTCAGCTTTGTGGTGCAAGCTATGTGGCGCAAGTTACGTGAGAAAAGCTGTGTGGTGCAAGCAATGCGGCCGCCCAGCGCACGAGGCGCCCACGGGTGGGCACCAAGAGAAAACTCGGTTAACCCATCCAACTCGTGGGGTAAGACAGACAAGAACCCCCAAGTGCAAGCAGAGGTCGGGAAACGAGGAACAATGAATCAAGCAAACGGAAGCAAAGAGGCTGGCGTTCGACATCGGCGCCAGGGTTGAGGCGCGAGGCCTCGACTCCGAGCAGGGCCGGGCGCTGAACGGCTGCTTGGGCACAGTGATGGGCTACGCGCACGAGAGCGAGTGCTTCCAGGTGCACTTCTCCCAAAGCGGCATGGCCAATCTGAAGGCAGCGAGCCTGTGCCCCGCTGGGCCCTCCGCCTTGGCCCAGGTGGCCCCCGAGAAGGGCCATGCTGCGCCCGACGCCGCAGGGGCGCCAGCGCAGGCCGAGGAAGAGACGGCCGAGAGTGCAACGCTGTGCGGCAACGCCGACGAGGCCAAGCCAGAGGCCAAGCCGCCAGCCAGGCGCGGGCGGAAGGCGGCGGCGAGCGGGCAGGCTGCCGAGCGCGCAGAGAGGCCAGAGGCGGGCCCTGCAGTTTCAACCGTTATGGCTCCTTCTGAACGGGGTGCCGAGGTGGATGCCAAGATAGAGGCCAGGCCGGAGACCGAGCCGGAGGCCAAGAAGCCAGTGGAGCGTGGGCGCAAGGCGGCGGCGAGCGGGCAGGCCGCTACATCCACGGAGGCGCCAGAGAAGAGCGCCGCGGAGCGACTCACCGAGGCTCCCATTGAGCAGGATGCCAAGCCAGACGCCAAGGCCGAGCTGGAGGAGGAGGCGAAGGCCAAGCCACCAGGCAAGCGGGGCCGCAAGGCCGCGGCGAGCGCGCACGCCGCCGAGCCCGCGGAGAAGCCAGAGGAGGGTCCCCCGGGACCAGCTGCCGAGGCCCGCGCCGAGCAGGGGAGCTCAACAGCAAGTCATGGGAGCATCGCGTGCCCTCGCCATTCCGATGTTTCGAGTGCACCAGCGGGCGGTAGCGTCTGGCAGTCGAGGAGAAAGCGCCGATTTGGCGTCGATCTAGCGTCGATTAGCGTCAATCGTCGTCGCTTCGCGTCGATTCGCGAGAGCCAGCAAGATGGCACTGGCGGCTCCCATGAGTTGCCACCGAAGGGGCGCGAGGAGAAGGTCGGACGGGACTAGGACGAGGATAAGTACGTTCCAAAGCGTTCCAGAACGCTCTCAGAGCATTCCGGAACGCTCTGAGAAGGCCGCGGCGCCCGATGCATCCTCCAGAGTTGCAGGATTGCAAAGGTTCTTGCTCATCCGAATTTGTCCTCGTCCTGGCTTCGTCTTAGATCTGTGTTTCTTTTTACTTGTTGTAAATACACACGTTGGCCTGCGTTTCCTTGTCCTCCCCGTCCCCCTGCTGTGGCTTTCTTTGCCTACCGTGCCCCCCCCCCATCCCCCTGATCCTCTGTGCCCTGCTGCTTCCTCCACGCGCTGCTGTGCGCTTGTCTTCGTCCTCGTCCTGCGATTTGTTCTCGTCCGAAGCTCTCCTCGTCGTGGCTTCGTCTTAGAAGGCCGAGGCGAGCGCCAAGCCGAAGACCAAGGCGCCGGCCAGGCGGGGGCGCGGGGCGGCGGCGGGCGGGCAGGCCGGAGGCAGCGCGGAAGGGCCGGAGGAGGGCTCCGCGGAGCGGGGCGCCGAGGCCGCGGCGGGGCCCGAGGCGGAAGGCAAGCCAGGGCCTCCCAAGTGGGGTCCGAGCGGGGGGGGTCGAGGGATCGCTCCGCATCGCCGATGCATCGGCGATGCGCCTCGAGGTGGAGGGCCAGAGCTGTCCCTCGCCGATGCATCTCGCCGACGTGTTGGCGATGCATCGGCGATGCGGCGCGATCCTCCGACCCCATCTGCTCGGACCCCATCTAGGAGGCCTCCAGGCAAGCCGGGAGCCGAGGCGAAGGCCGAGCCGCAGGCCAAGGTGCCGGCCAAGCGGGGGCGCAAGGCGTCGGTCGGCAGGCGCGGGGAGAGTCCCGCGGGCCCGGCGGAGCGGGACGCCGAGGCCGCGGCGGGGCCCGAGGCGGAAGGCAAGCCGGGAGCCGAGGCGAAGGCCGAGCCGCAGGCCAAGGCTTTGTGCTCGTATGACCTCAAAGGGGGTCCAGCGAAAAGAGAGGGTGGTGCAACAGATCCGGTGCACTACATCTGTGGGGATGCAAGAGAGCTGGGGCGTGCAACACACCCCCGTGCGCGAACGCATTGCTGGATTTTCGCGTGCAATACAGTTGATGTGATACAATACAAAACAATTCTCCGCCGCAATATCTTTGCAATACACTTGCCCCAAGTCTATTGCACCACCCCCTTTCAGCTGGACCCCGATTTGAGTCAACCAAAGGAAGACGAACCGGGAGCCGCGGCGAAGGCCGAGCCGCAGGCCAAGGTGCGGCTGCACGTAAGAGTGACCTGTGGCTGGAGTGGCCAGACCCCCTCGAGTCATGAAAAGGTCACGACGGGAGGCTTTCCGCTGTTTTCGGCCTCTGGGGGCCCTTACGGGGCCTCGGGGCCGTCAAGAAACGACCCAGGATGAAAAACCGGTCCCGGGGAATCTGCGGTCGACGTTGCGAAAAGTCATGACGCTGGGGGTTTGGGTTTGGTGCGGGCCCTTTGGGACCCCCCGACCGCCGAGCGCGAATCGATGGTAGCGTCTTGCGCGTTCGGGTTTGGCCCCCCGCGGCTCCCAGAAAGCCTCGCACCAAAGGTCACTCTTGCCGAGGGTCGCTCTTGCGTGTAGTCGAAAGGTGCGGGCCAAGCGGGGGCGCAAGGCGTCGGTCGGCAGGCGCGGGGAGAGTCCCGTGGGGTCGGCCGCCCAGGTCGCCGAGCTCGCGGAGAAGCCCGAGGAGTTCGGGGAACAAAGAGTGGCGTAAACATAGTGTGTCCAAGATCCGCGCTCAGATGTCTCGGATCGGCGCTGGAGCCCCCCGGCGGCGCCTCCGGCGCCGCCTTTTGCGCGCTCCGTGCGTCAGACAGGAGGGTCCAGCGCCGATCCAAGAAGCCCGTGCGGACCTCCAAGAAGGTTCACGTTTGTGGCATTTCGTCGGTCCCTCCAGGAGTGCCCGGTGGGGTCTGCCATCGAGGCAGGGCTGGGAACCAAAGGGTACGGTCAGGAATTTCTGCATGGCGTATCCCGCCGCCGGTTCTGCCCCACCACGCTTCGGTGCCACACGCTATCCACGTCCCAGATTTGAAGAGTCAACGGTCCAAGCCTTTCCCAGCCTCCCGCCCCTTGGAGCGGAGCAACACGCTATCCGCTCGCTCGCAGGGAATAGTGCGTCTGGGGGGCCGCCGCCACGACACGGTGAGCAAAAGCTGCTGACCGTAGTGAGTGCGCCTATCACCAGAGTTGGGATCCCCTCAAAACCGTTGAAGACGCCAATGAATGCCCGTGGGTTCTTTTAGTACATTCTGAGAATACGAGTGTCTTAGATGATTCAGCTCGTTTATTTCGACGCCACATCCGTTGACCCCTAGATCTGTTTTAGATTGTTGTTGGTCCCTGCTGGCGTTGATAGGGGAATGGGGAGAAACACAAGTGGAGGAAAGGACGAGGTAGACGTTGAGGAGGAGCAGAAGTCGGAGGAGGAGGCGGGGGATAAAGAGGGGGAGATGTTGCAATCATTATTGGGGCGTCTGGAGTTCGTTGCGCTCTTATTGAGAACATGCAAACGGAAGGACTTGCGCCGCGTCCTCAATCCTGGCCGTTGCTCGTTCATCCGATTCTCAGAGAAGGTATGAGCGGCGCGATGGGACGCTTGCCCCACCCGAACCACCCCCCGCCTCCGTGCACCTGTCAACAGCATGTCCAAATTGTCGCGGGATGGTATCGTCCGTTGTTCCAGAAAACAGGAATTGTGTCCAACATGTTTAGCCTCAGTGTTAGCAAACGCCTAGATGGATGAAGTGCAGGTTGACGATGCGTTTGGCATGATACAACATGACATGCGATCTCAAACTGTTCCGCATTGGTCGAGGCGCCCCACTTCGGCGAATTATTTCCCGCCATATCGTCGTTGGTTCACCCCGCATCTAGCCATGTGTCAGCTCATGTTGTTTCTGGTTACGGCGAGCTTGCCAGAGCTGGTCACATGCATAGCCATGTGGTAGAGGGTTGGAGGACACAGGCTGATTGTGAGGCGATGCGGTGACGCTGTGTATCGACGCAGCGCGGTGTGCCGCGCCGAGGCAGGAACTTACCGGAGAGTTGTATCACGTTGCTGACGCTTCGAATATCCCCACCAACGCATCCAGCAGCGATTCCTGGGCGAGCTGCTCTGGTCAGGGAGGCGTGGGAGCCTTTGGTGGTGTTGGGAAGCAGGGGCAGCCGCCGCCTCGTCGCCTGCGCGTGCACCCTCCGTGCTGTTTTCCCGTAAGCCTGCAGGGCCGCCCGCAGCTGCGCCGCACGGGCCCTGATGGTTGACTCCAGAGTTGCCCGTGGCAGCGGGGGAGGAGGACGGAGAAGGAGGAGGAGGAGGAAAGAAGGAAAGAAGGAAAGAGGAGGAGGTGGAGGTGGAGGTGGAGGAGGAGGAGGAGGAGGAGTAAGAGGAGGAGTAAGAGAAGGAGGAGGAGGAGGGGGACGAGGAGGAGGTGGAGGAGGAGGAAGAGGAGGAGGAGGAGGAGGACGAGGAGGACGAGGAGGAGGAGGAGGAGGAGGAGGAGGAGGAGGAGGGGGAGGGGGAGGAAGAGGAGGAGGAGGAGGGGGAGGAGGAGGAGGAGGAGGAGGAGGAGGAGGAGGAGGAGGAGGAGGGGGGGATACATCTTCGGGGATGCACCCCGCCTCCGAGTGGAGAGCTGCGCCAGGCAGTTCTCTCACGGAGGCGTGCGCTTCTCCTTGGGCAGGCGGGAGCTCTCGCGGCGCGTGTGTGCCGGGTGCCTCCTCCTTGGGGAGCCTCCCCTTGGGGGCCCTCGCCCCGGAGGCCCTCGAGGAGAACGAAGAGGGGTTCTTTCGTCGAGAGGCTTACTCGGGAGGGAAAGAAACACACAGACACAATCAATCCTCGATTCCCCAGAAAATATAGGAAAGTATGGGAAGTGGGGCCCTCGAGGGGAACGAGGAGGGGGTCCCTGCGTCGAGAGGCTTGCGCCAGTCCGCCGTCACCTGCGAGGCAGATGGGGCGAGTGTACAGTGCCAGTTTTAATGCATGCTCCGCGTGCGGATCGTGTATTAAAAATGCAGGGATCTCGTGCATGAATTTATCCATAAATTAAGCATGTATTAAAATCCTATATTGTTAAAAATATCCCGTCAATTAGAAACTGCCCTGTAATATGGGCTGCACGGGGTGCCCGAGTACGGTAGAGCGCAGGAGAGCGGCGGAGAGCTCGTGCCCAGGAGGGGCAGAGCAAGGGGGACGGGGGAGAGTGGGCATGAAGTTCAGGAAGTTGCTGTGGCCATATCAGTGTTGGACCATCCCTGGGGGACTCTTGGGGGCATTGCTTGGTATGCTGTGGTGTGTTGTGTCCTGCTTGAGGGCGTCAAGAATCAATATGAGAATGCAGAGGCGAGGCAGGAGGAGGGGAGATGAGGAGGAGGAGGTGGAGGATCACCTCCATAGTAGGAGTCATGTGTAGGTGAGGGGATTCTACAGCAGTGGCTTCGAATGGCCAACCTCGTCATGACATTCCAGTCCTGTCGACGACAGGAGGCACCAACTAGTGAGCCCACGAATTTTGAATCCTGGGGACCCCCTGGAGGGGAGTGGACACGCAACTCTCGCCAGATCATTGAGCGTTGGGGGGGGGCGCGCCGACGCGCGAGGCGCCGAGGATCGAAGCAGTTGCCGTCTCTTCCTCGACGGAAGGGCGGCGGAGGGTGGCAGAAGTCAAGCGAGGGCGGCCCCGCCAGTGGAAGCGGGCGGAATCTCAGTGGACGTAAAAGATGCGCCCCGAAGAGATGGCAAGGTTGTTCGGTCCAGGGTTTCTGTGAGTGGTCGTTTTCTTATTCATTGTTTTGCCGATCGGCGCGGGCCCTCCCACCACCCTTCCCCCCCCCCCCCGTGGAGTAGATCTTGGCTGTTTTCGGGGTGCCTGTTTCGAGCAGGCAGGCGGAGTCTCCCCCATAGGACGCACGGCTCCAAACAGTCGCACGAAGCAGAGGTCCGGAGCCAGACCCCCCCCCTCCTTCCGCCCAATGTCGACACGCCGACAAAAAAAAAAACGTTCACTGACTTGCCACGTGTGTATCCGGCACTTGGGCCTCTCTTGCGGCATTCGCAGGGCCCTGCAGGGTGTTCTGGGGGGCCCCCCTTGTGGGGCTGTCTTTTGGGGCCGCCTGGTGCCGCCCCGGCGCCCCCCTCGGGGGTCTTGGGATCTCTTCGGTTCGGGGCCGCGTGGGGCAGTCTTGGGACCGTCTTAGGGTTAAGTCGGGCCTGTCTTTCTATAGGCGGAGAATTCAGAAATAATCAAAACATAGTCTGGGGACGATTTTTTGACTATGTTTTCATATATCTGTTGTATTTTGAATATTTCGTCCAAATCCGCCAGTAGTGGGACATGCCCGACCTAATCTTATGGTGTCCTTGGACCCACTGAGGGCTGTCCTGGAGGCCAGCTGGAAACCTCTGGGGCCATTGACGCCATCGGTGCATCGGGGGGGCGTCTGGAGGCTTCTTCGACCTTCCCAGAGGCGTCTGGAAGCGACAAGGCGAGGTAACAAAAAGAATGCAAAACATGTTCGCTGTTGGATGATGTTTTGAGTCCGGATTCCCCTCGTGGCATCAATTTCAGCATCCTTGAGGTAGATTAGGCTCTCTTGAATTCTTGTTGAGGCCTCACGTCCGTGTCGGATCTGTGCTGGAGCCGTCTTGAAGGGCATCTCGGAGGCGTCCGAGGGTGGATTTGGAAACGCTGGGGACCTAGAAGGTGCGTCGAGGAGCTCGAGCTCCTTCCCCAGAGGGGGACCTGAAGCGTGTTTTTAGATTCCCAGCGAGGGGGGAAGGGAGAGGGGGACAGCCGAACGTACGGCCGGACCCAGGCATGGGATCGAGGTTGGCTCGGGGAGGCTGCCCTAACGTTCTTCGTGTCTGGTGGATCCTCTGGTGCATCCTGGTGGAGGGCACCATCGGCGATCTTCTGGTTCGGGGTGTTCTGGCCAGCGGAGGTTCTCACGCTCTTGAAGGAGGGTCGTCTGTCCCAGGTCTGGCCGCACATCGGCCCCCGATCGCCCATTGATCGCCGATAGGGCTCTGCTGGCCCCGCCCTGCCCAGGGAGGTGCGGATTTACCATCGGCGCCTATCACCGATCATAAAGGGCAACAGATCGCCGATTCCAGGTGGATGTTTAAACCACCTTATGCTCGGGACGATCGAAATGGGTATGGAAAGAATGGATACAAAGACCGACAGCAGTTCCTGTGTATTTTGAACAGGCGCTGTCCGCGCCGCCGCGGACGTCTTGTCCGCTGAAGACAAGAAGCCCCCTGCCCAACAGCGGTCGATGTCGGTTTTGGACAACATTTGCTGTTGTTCATTGTACTCATTTTTTCAGTACCCATGTCGGCCGTCCAAATATGCCAGTCCCCCCCTCTCGTTGCCCTTCCGGGATCTCCTCCTCCTCCTCCTCCTCCCCTTCCGCTTCCTCCTCCTCCTCCCCCTCCTCCTCCTCCTCCTCCTCCTCCTCCTCCTCCTCCTCCTCCTCCTCCTCTCCTCCTCCTCCTCCTCCTCCTCCTCCTCCTCCTCCTCCTCCTCTTTGTCCTCCTCCTCCTCCTCTTCCTCCTTGTCCTCCTCCTCCGAGGCTTCTCGCAGCCTCTTGAGGGCATATCATGATCCATGTTGAACGCCATCATCATCCAATTTGGACTATCTTGCGGCATCTCGGAGGCCAGCTTAGGGGAACCTGGAGCAGTATTGAAAC